TTTTTAATTATTGATATTTTTAAAGATGTAAGCTCATCCTGACGTTACACTCATCGAGAGCTTTCATTTGAGTACCCACATGCATTTTGATTTATTTTTCATATATACATATATATAATCTATATAAATATATGAAAAATTGATGTGGGTACTCAAATGAAAGGTCTCAATGAATGTAACATCGGGATGAGCTTATATCTTTAAAAACGTCAATATTTAAGAAAGTAGAGTGCAATTTAACAAAAGTCATTATTTAATAAAGCAAAATTTTATTTATTTATAGTTCACAAGTCACGGTAGTCACATAGTGACTGCGAGGTTGCTAGTAATAATAATAATAATATTTCAAAGGCTAGATTCATTATTATTATTATTATTATTATTATTATTATTTATATGTAATTAAATATCACTTTTAATTAACAAAATTTTACTTCAACAGACACATGCTGACTTGCTCAAAAAATGTTTACTAGTACTGCGAGAGGAATAAGTTCGTAACAATAACTTCATGATATGGGTACAACTTCACTTATGCTACATAAGCACTTGACAGGTGCATTTATTTGATAATAATTATAATAATTATATATTGTAAAGTATATTTTTTATTTCTAACTTTAAATGATCTATATATCTTATAAAATAATAATAATAATTAATATTTCGAGTAATTAGATTCAAGCAAAAGAAAGACTTTTTTACAATCATTATAGTAAAAAATTTATTTGTTAGATTTATCAATCAACTTTTTATTTTAAATCAACTATTGAATGTATGAGTATATATTTATATATATTGTAAAAAAAAATAGAAAGCATTTTTTTAAAGTTATCAATTTATAAAAAAAAAAATTCCAATGAACACTTAGTTGTTAGAATTTATTAATATGTATTAATTATTATTATGATAAAATACTTTATTAAATTTTTTTAATTTAGAACTCTTTATCTGTAATAAATAAAATTTGTATCTATATATATAAATATAAATATATATTGGATTATAATAAAAAAGTCAAAGATAACAATCGTTTGTTATTTATTACGTTATTTATTTCATATTTTAATTAAATCAATAACTCAATAAAGATAAAATGAAATGGTTTTACATTTGTTAGTCGCTATAAAATTAAATTAAAAATTTAATTAAATAAATTTAGGTGAAGGGAGATCAATTTTTATCTTAAATATATCACCATACATTTTATTTATAATTTATATATTTAAATTTGAATTAAATTAATTATAAAGCTAACGAAATATGTACGTGTGTTTATTTTAGATCAATACCTACGCAGTAATTAAATTGAAAATATAGAGAGGGTGAATAATAAATCGGTATACTCAGTTTCATACATTTTATTGAATTGAATGGCTCTTTTTTTTTCTATGATACATGATTGCAGACATATACTGAGAAATTTATAATTTTTTTTTAAATTGTAAGGATCATTTAATCGTTTTTATTTTTTTTTTAAATCCATTCAGAATTTAGATTTAATTCCACCATAATATACCTTGTATTCCCTTATAAAAAAAAATAATATTCCCACATTTTAGTTATTATTATTATTATTATTAGGGCCAAGATTTTTATCAAAATTTTAAAATAAATGTAAAATTTTTGATATTGAAGCAAAAATATTGGTCGTACAAAAAAAGTTTTAAAACAAAAGTTCAAAATTTAATTTTCTGAAAAAATGTATCATAATTTTTTCCTAGGACCAATCAGAAAGCCGTAATTTAAATATAAAGATTTTTGTAAATAAAAATTTGAATTATCTATATTATTAAGAGAATGAGCAAAATTTTATGGCGATAAGTATTTAGGCTGCATTTGAAAATGCTCTATTTCTAAATACATGATTAAGAAATGACCTTGTATCTTGTGAACTATTGACATTTTTAAAGATATAAGCTCATCCTGATGTTA